GGGGTAACAGTATCAGGCAAAAGAACCAACTACAAAATTTAAATCCCACCAAATGAACACATCAATTCACAACTCCAGAACCTAAATTCGAGTTTCTAAGAAACAAACCTCGCCATCATGGCCACGGAACTTGCGAATAACACGACCAGTTGCTACGTCCCAATAAAAGATTTGCCGATCACCCCCGCAAGAACACAGCTTGGAATTGTCCCTGCCAGCAGAATTCGAGGTTAATTGAAAGATAAAGAAGAAGAACAAATGCCAAATGGAAAGAAAGAAGCGTACGGGGTGACATGGACGTCGCGTACTTCGCGGCCGTGAGCTTTGTAGGTCTTAATGTGAATGCCGCGGTGGGGATTCCAGAGGCGGATGGTGCGGTCTTTGCCACAGCTGAGGCAATAGTTGCCGTCGCCGTTGAATCTGGCAGCTAATACTGCACCCTCATGACCCTTGAGCACGTTCGCTTCTTTCCTTGGCAATTCGGAGGCGCTCATCTCTGTCGCTCAACACTGGTAGACACTAGACAGTAAGTAAACTAGGCAAAGGCCGTGGCACCTGCGTGCGTCTGCCTGTGGACGTTAGATTTTAATGGGCCTTTTTCGGCCCTCAGTTTTAATGAAATTTGGATCTTTGCCACTCCTTGGGCCTTTTATTTTATTTTTTTAATTTTATTTTAAGTTGCATAAAAAAAAAAAAAAATTTATAATTCTTTTTATATTTCAAAAAAATATTTAATAATTGCAGTATTGCACTCTCTCTTCTTCTTCTTCTTCTTTTTTTTTTTATCATTTGAATCCTTTAACTTTATATAAATTAATTTGATGATTTTATATAACAAATAAATAATAATTTTAAAAAAATTTTGATTTAAATGAAAATACTAACAAGAACTCCATATAGAAGAAAAAATTTTCCATTTTTATTTACTTACTATATAAATGATATTGAGACTAACAAAATTCAAATCCATCTTTTAGGAGGAGGTCATATACCTTACCAAAAGTATAGCTTATGCATGCCACTAGGGCTAAAATGTTAACAATGCCCTTAATGAATTCTTATGCTTTATTAATTCATTAGGGGCATTAGTGACATTTCAGTCCCACAATGGCATTCTATTTTGCCTGTCCCGACCAAAGGTGATATGTAACCACACTTCTAAGAAAATGTCAGAAATATTATGAGCAGCCCAAGAGTTGCGAGCAACATATTAAGGAGTGACCAGAAAACCGGTAAGAGAAAAAAAAAAAAAAATGTCAGCATATGCTTTAAGTCTACAACTTACACAAAAGGTTGAATTGCAGATTACATATCTGACCAAGAGGTTGATAAATGGTATTATCATACATGCAGCAAGTTGTGTACTAATTAAAGTTCTTTTAAGTTTTAAACCTAGGACAAGAAGTTCAAAAAGTGACCCATCCTCAACCCATGTGTCTGCATTGCATATTCCTCTAGGTCAAAACTGGTTCAAGTTCATCCTCTAAACTTTGCTTCATATTCATGGGGTTCCTGCAAGAGAAATGAAATGTTAATCGACAACACAGAATATTAAAGACAGAAGGACTCTCATGAAGGTGGAAAACTCATTACCATAAATTTGGCTGCTATAGATCGGCCAGCAAACCATCTCATGTGCATTGCACGCTGGGCTCCAGCAGCTGCTTCAATAGATTCAAACCGCAAATATACAAAACCAGCACTGTTTCTGCAGGCAGGTCAAAATATAGATAGGAATAAGGATTCTGTATAGGATGTTAGGTTCAAATGCATATGACTAAGCAATATGACATTGGACAAGAGCCAATTGACCCTATTGTCTATTTTCCTATAAAGAGGTAGAAAAATAAAATTTGAACCAAGGGAGTAGGTGGGAAGTTCAAAAGATTAAACAATGACATTATTTCAGAACTCAGAAGAGGTATAATCAAGTAATTTGAACCAAAGGTAGAAAAGAAAATTTGAACCCCGTAATAATGCAAGAGCCACTGACAGCTCTAAGCATACAACAATTTATATAATTGAGTTAGATCAAATCCATTTTTATGCACCTTTGATGCATTTTAAATTTCATTTATGCATCATAGACTTTATTCCCTTGGTATTCATTTCTTCATTTTGCAGATAATTTAGTTCCTTAATAAAGTTATAAGAGGCATAAAAGCACGAACATGATAGGAGAAGCACGTGTGAAAACAGAACTGAGAACATTGCACAAATATATAACAAAGGCAAAATACAAATGGCTCTGATGACCATGGATGGCAAAACAAATATTAATAAGTGCAATATACATCTTTGCACTTACTTGTCCACATAAATATGCTTCACCCTGCCATATTTGTTACACTCTTCTTCCACGTCCTCTTTTATATCCAGATCAAAATCTGGTTCCGTCTACAATAAAAGTTTAAGATCACTGATTCATAAAGGAAAGATCTTATGGCTCAAAACCAAAAATGTTTCAAATAAAGTAGAAAAAAAAAAAAAAAGGATAATGCAAAAAAGGAAACAAAGTACAAACAAGAAAATACAAACCTCAGTAGCTGGATCAAACATATTCTTCAACAGCAAACATTCACTGGGCTGTCCAATAGGTTCAGAAGATGCAGCAGACACAATTGGAGAAGGCAAAATTGGAGCCAGATATGCTGGTTGCCCATTGATTGGCAATGCAACAGCTTGTTGAGTTGGGGCTGACCCATTGAGGATGGGTACTCCAAGAGAGCCAGCAATACTGGAAAATGATTAATTTCAAATTATATCTTGGTTATCTAAACAACCCAAAAAGTAATTGGCCAAAGAAAAACACAACTTTGAAATTATGTTAGAAGAAATAAACCAACCTAGTGGCAATGCCAGAACGATCCAGTTTTGCCATTAGTAATGCTCTTGATTGAGCATTCAAAGCCTGCAGAGAAACACGTTACAATCAGCCAGGATAAAATCAAGGAAGTTTTGATCAGCAAGGAAAAGGATAATGCACTTCCACCAAATTAAATTTATTATTAAAAAAAAAAAAGAAACTTCACTGATTTTTGGAATTATAAGAGATAATTGTGACTATTAATTGCCTTTCCACAGTACAAACAACAGGTGAGAGAAAATAATTACAATCAAAATATAAGAGGCTGGTAACAAAGGCCACAAAAAGTAACATAATAGCATTCATAAAAAAAACCATGATAATATTAAAAACTCACCAAACCACCACCCTCATCATCATCAAAGTCAGCAGCTTTTGCTGTTGTATCTTGTGTACCAACATGATCTGTGACTGAGGAAACCTGTATTCAATTCATTGACTTATTTAGCCAAATCCATTTAAGATTGGAAACCATGACAATATAGGAAGCAATAGTTAAAAACAAAAGAGATGAAATGACTGGGGGAAGAGAGAGGGGGCTGTTTAATTTATTATTATCTCATTATGCCACAGAGGTGTGACATTAAAAAACCTACCTTAATGGTTCGACCAGCGATCTCCAACTTTCCATTCAAAGCACTTTGAGCTGCCTTTGCATGCTCAAGCTGAGCAAACTGTGAAAGAATGACCGTGAGTTAAGTACACAAACCAATTAGTCTACCAGGGGAAAGCATATTTAAAGTCAATATCAAGTTTAAACTTAAACAAACCTGAACAAACCCAAAACCTTTGCACTGCCCAGTCTCAATATCAAGAGGTAGTTGCACAAGCTCCACAGGGCCAAAAGGTTCAAATATCTGAGTAATTAACATATTCAAAAAAAAAAAAAAAAAGCACGAAAAATTTCAGTATCATGTAACTCAAAAGGTAACGAGTAAAACTGGCAAAAAGAAAAGGGAGAAAATTTGAAGGGTGGGGAGGTCACTCCATCATACTGCTAATTTAGTATCATAATCTCCAAAGTCGATGAAGCTTCTTCTTTTTTCCCTCCTTTTTCTTTTTTTTTTTTGGTCTTGGATTACATTTTTAATGATCCACACAAATCTTCAAAAAACAAAATTGATGCCTTGCAGCTAACCATAAGATAAAAAACTTTTTATCAAGGCTGTGGTTTCATCCATATCATTTTTTCTCTAATCAAAGACCATTTACACTAAAAAACCAAGTCCAAAACAAAATGATTTCTAGCCATAATAAAATACTAAATTAATGAAGTCACTTATAGTTTATTGACAAGGACATTGTCTTTTTACTTTTACCTGTCTAAGCTGCAGTTCTGTCATATTGAAATGTAAATTCCCCACATACAGTTTTCTATCCACTGCTCCATATGGTCCAGCAACTCCACCTGAGCCTGTACCAGAGGCATTAGACTGAACAAGATTCTTTTCAGCCTCAGAAGGTTTAACCATTACAGGTTGTCCAAGAAGAAGTTGACCAGACAGAGCAATGGCCATTGGCACAGACATCACATCATAAAACTCAATATACCTGCAGTTTCACTAGCACATTAAAATTAGTTTCTCAAAAAAATTAAGTCAAAAAAATTATTGTAAAAACTTACAAAGCATATAGCAAAGAGATGTAGGGAAACAAAAACTCTAGGGCAGAGAGCTCATGCTGAGTTTCTTTAGTTGAATCAGATGCCTAATGTAATAGAAAATGTTAGATCATTATAACAAGATTAAGAAAGCAAATAAATAGTAAATTAAGGTTGTCAAGCTACAGAACTGGACTTAGGAGAGGAGAAGGAATTGTAATCAGTCCTGTTCTACTTGAATATCTCCTATTTAGCAATAAATAGGCCACTGACTTGAAGTTTAAACCACAATGGTAGAGACAAAATAACAAAATTGCACCCCTGGAACTGAAAGCTAGAAAAGCTGATGCCAGAAAGAAAATCTCTCCCATGGGAACAACAGAAGTTGAAGAACAAGAAGAGGAGTGGAATTACAAAAACTTTTTAAATGCTGACAGCCAAGAAAAAGTGAATAACCATATCATGACTTAATTGTAGTGAAGAAAGAAAATCTCCCATATCTTCCAATGACAACAACAAAAGTTGAAGAACAAGAAAAGAACAAAAAAAGAAAAAGCAGCTTTTCCAAAGCTGACCACCAAAAAACCATGTCATGACTTGACTGTATCCTAAACCCTCCGGAAATTTAATTCATACAAAAGTAGAAGAATTGGAATAAGGTGCCCATGTCAAAGCAGATGAAAGGTGGGGAAATGGAAAAAAATCAGGTTTATGTCATCTACCTTGAGTACGCAGCATGAATTGATTAAACATGAGTGCTATTCCATCATCCCTCATCATTATCGCATTGCTAGTGCATTTAAGAATACAGTTAAACTTGATTCTTGAAAACACATGTTATTTGACAAGACTACCAAAAAAAGAAAAACTATGAGGAACATAAATTCACATACCCAACTCCCTTTGAACGTCTTGAATTTCTATCCATGATCAGCCGAACATCTCTCACCTGAAGATGTAAAGAAAATATAAGCCAAAATCAGAATAATGAAATTTGGGAGAGCAAAAACCTGCAAAAGCTAGACATTCAAACTAAATGATTAAACAACAATTTGGGGTGTTCACAAAAACATATTGATTAATGCACATGCACGTTTTAACTCACCCAACATGTACAGTATGTTGAGACACAAGAAATTCATAATATTACTCCTTAGAAGGCAGAGGAGCATATACTGCAAGAGAAAGCAGATGTATCTCAATAACATGCATCCATATGGTTCTAAGTTCAAACTATTGTTTAACAAAATTACATCTATTCTTCAATATGCAAGAAATAAATGAATTCATTGATAAATTACAATACTCAGGACAATGGGAAAGCATAAACATGGGAATACAATATGCTATAAATCTTATGAAAATGCATTACATGCAATTAGTACAGTACCAAGGTTGTACCCCTAGCCCAATGTTCATTGAACACTACCCACTTTGATGTTTACTTTCCTAGATTGAATTAGAACCCTAACAACACTCTATAACAATAAGGGAGTAATCTAGGGCAACCTCCAAACAAGAACTAGTCTTATATGTTATTAGTCTACAAGGAATAGCATGTGAAATCCAACTAACCTTGCCGGCCTTTGAGAAGAATTCATAGATATCTCTCTCTGTTGCCTTTAGAGGCATCTGTCATCACAATGACGGAACGGTAAAAGTTATCAGCAAAGAGTATGAAGAAATAAAACATGGGTTTGCTTACATATGCACTAAAAAAAAAATTATGGCTGGTAATCCTTCAAATATTTACGACAGAAGAAGTGACCTGATAAGCAAAAACAGTTCTCTGGTCCCTTTCTGGATCAGCTTCAGGCTCTGCCGCTTCTTTCTTCTCTTTAATTCTCCTGAAAGCCAAATTATATTGATATCAACTAGTAGATTCAGATAAAATCTTGAACTTCAAAAAACATCAATTACAATGTCATGTTCTAGATATATGAGCATTCATACATATCTTGTAGCCATATCAATGAGTCAAGTAGGAAAATTTTATGAACATTGTAGGCTTTCTTTTTAACAAGGTGAAGAATACCTGCCGTCCCTGACATTAAGCTCC